CCCCCTCCCCCCTTCCTTCCCATCCTCCCTTCCCCTTCCTCCTCCTCCTACCCCCTCCTCCTCCCCTTCCCCCTCCTCCCCCTCCTCCTCCCCCCTCCCCCTCCTCCTTGCAAGAGTCCCAGCTCCCTCCCTCCAGCTAGGACAGAGGAGCGTCTTCTCTGAGCCAGGCCGTCATGGCTGCCGTTCTGCTTCATCGTCTTCTCCACTCAGGCAGGGGCTCTTCCTCGGCCATCGGTTGAAATAACAGGAAATTGGGGGCATCCTGTTTGCGGTGGCTCTTGGACAATGGAGCCAGAACACGATTATTCTGCAGGTCATTAAATTGAGTTCCAGCAAAGGGCCGGGCAAGATGGATGCCTGCCTGGGAATCTTCTCCTTGGGATGGAGAAGCAGGATCTGTGGGGCAGGGAACGCTTCCTCCCCACTTACAGAAGGAGCTTGGACCTCTCCTCCTTTTGTTGAAGCTGAGGGCAGAGCGAAGAACAACAGGACGAAATGGAAAGGAACAAGATTCATCTTGGGCAGAGGCCTCTGAACTTGGCCCCTTTAAGACTGGGGGACTTCAACTCCCAGAATTCCCCATGCTGGCTGAGGAATTCTGGGAGTTGAAGTCCACCAGTCTTAAAGGGGCCCACATTTGGAGACCCCTGGTCTTGGACCAGTGGTGGGATTCAAATGGTTTTGCCATCGGTTCGGTGGGCGTGACTTGGTGGGTGTGCTTTGCCTAATGCGCGTACGCGGAGCTTTCCCCACATGAGCGGAGACCCGCAGCGCCAATCAGCGAGAGGATAGAGAAGAGAAAAGGGCAGGGGCAGGTCGGAGGGGGCTGATCCTGTGCTTTTCTTCCTCCTCTCAGGAGGGGTTTTTTTTTTTTAATACTGGTTTGTCAGAACTGGTCCAAACTGGTAGTATACCACCATTGGTCTTGACTATGAAGAAGTGACTAGAAGGAGGAGGTGTTCTGAGCGGCAGAAGCTGTTAAGTGATGGAATCGCCTGCCTGGAAGAACGATGGACAGCGGTTTCAAAGGGCAGCTGACCAGACACCCCTTTCATGGATTCCTGTCCTGAGCAGAGAATTGGACCAGAGATAGATAGATAGATAGATAGATAGATAGATAGATAGATAGATAGAGATAGAGATGATAGATATAGAGATAGATATATATATAGAGAGATAGCTATATAAAGAGAGAGAGTGTTAGAGAAAGAGTTAGAGAGAGTTAGAGAGTTAAAGAGAGAGTTAGAGATAGAGAGATAGTGTTAGAGGTAGAGAAAGTTAGAGTTATAAAGAGAGAGAGAGATAGCGTTAGAGAGAGAGAGAGTTAGAGAAAGAATTAGAGAGTTAGAGATAGAGAAATAGTGTTAGAATTAGAGAAAGCTAGAGTTAGAGATTTAAAGAGAGAGTTAGAGAGAGAGAGATAGCGTTAGAGATAGAGAGTTAGAGAGAGAGAGAGAGTTAGTGTTAGACTTAGAGAGTTAGAGAGTTAGAGAAAGAGAGAGATAGAGAGTTAGAGAGAGAGAGAGAGAGAGAGAGAGAGAGAGAGATTTAATTGTTTGATTTACATCACCGCCCATCTCACATATATGACTCAGGGCAGCCTACAGTCAAAGTAGACAAAACCCATACAGTATATCAGAGCCGCGAACCACGGAACAAACATTCACGTAGCAAGGAGACTCTCCCTGGGCTCCATCCACACCCAGGTCCCCAGACTTGGACCAGGGCCCAGGGTTCAAGGCCTTGCCGGAGGCCAGCAGGGTCAGGGCCGAACGATGATACTGCCAATAATAGCTGAAAGCCCATCGCCTTGAATGGTAGGAAGGAAACTCAGCCACTCGGAATCCGTGATCCCCCTCTGTGGAAGAAGGTTGAATTGCTTTGATGTCTACCATCACTTTGTGTTTTGTTTAAAAAACATCCGATGTCCAGTCAGGCTTGGAAGCCAATTCTGGGTTACAATTCTAGAAATGGAATTGTGCCACGCTCCAAGATCTAAAGTTTATGTTTTAATCAGACATAGAGTCTACACGTTATTTACAGTATTTTTGTCCATATTGTTTGCTATTTATTTGACTCTTTCCTCTTAATAACTTTAATGGGGTTAACCATGTGCTTTTGTAGTTAATACAGATAATTCCTGATCAGAAGTTTGGTATAAAGTGCCTTACGGTACTGTAAATTATTAATGGTGCATTAGAATATATTTAGCCATGTAATATCTTCCATTTAATGATTCGTTGACCTTTTTTGGGGGTTGCCACGACCCTATTTATTGCTTTCGTGGTATTTTCTTTATTATGTTTTATTATTATTATTTTTAAAGTGCACATTTGTGTCAGTTTTATTTCTTTCCTTTTTTATTGAAATAATAATAACGGAAGCTTTTAAGGAAGCCCAGAGGTGAGGTTGACAGAGGCATATATTTGACTTCAAGAAAGTTCTTTCCTCCCTCATCAATTCAGATCAGGGATAAGCAAGAGCGGGAAAAGACACGTGAGAGAGAGGGGAATTTCATAAAAAGGCAGCATTCAGACCTAATTGTGGACAGAAGCAACAAGAAAACACCCACGTGGCGAGCCGCAGTAGGGAAGCGAAATCTTCTTTTACTGACGAATATTCTGCAACTGGGCCTTAAATAATATTTTTGGGCAAACACTTCCTGTTTCGCTAATCTATCCTATGAAGGAGCTTTAAGCACGATGGAGAGGAGGGTTGTGCTCCTGCTGTTGGCCTTGCATAAGTTCCAGCTCGGGTTCAACTGACACGGTCGACCAAGGGTGGGATCCTACCGGTATAACCGGTTTGCTTGGCGCGTGCGTGCGCCAAATGCGCGTTGTGCATTTGGCGCGCACTATTTACAAACGACCGGGACCGGCAAGCATTCACCTGTTCCTTGTTGACGAGCGGCACTCAGCTGTGCCACGCAAAGCAACTGAGGAGGAAAATGCAGAGGCCATTGGACAGCCTAGAGCCCTGGGCGGGCAGGCGGGCGGGCCAAACCGACGACCATCGCGGCGAATCGATTCGGTGTCAGCTGCTCTTCGGAGCTACCGGTTCCATAGAATGGGCTGAACCGGTAGAATCCCAACCCTGCGGTTGACCTCTCTTGATCCTTCCCGTTTTGTTAACAAGGGTTCCAAGCAGGGGTGGGATTCAATTTTTTTTTACTACTGGTTGTGTGGGCGTGGCTTGGTGGGCGTGGCAGGGGAAGGTTACTGCAAAATCCCCCTTCTCTTCCCTTCCCGCTAACCTGCTTTCCAGCTCCGTTCTCCTGTGCAGGGCAACCAAAGGAGACCCAGCCGATCCGCTGGGACTCAATGGGAGGCAGAGAAGAGATGGGGGTTGGCGGGGCCAGTCAGAGGTGGGATTGTCCGGTTCTCCGAACGACTCAAAATTTCCGCTGCCGCTTCTCCAGAACCAGTCAGAACCGGCTGAATCCCACCCCTGGTTCCAAGCAAGCATTTCTCCATCTCTTCTATCAGGATTCCTAGGGGGAAGATTCGACATAAGCTCTTAAGAGCATCTGGAGGGGTTTATTTTATTTTTTTTCTCTTCAAGAAGAATAGGAGGTGAAGAAGACACACGTGCAGGGAGGGAGGAGGTCACCAGACAGCTGGATGCATAGCAAAAGAGTCAGCAAAGCCGAGCTCTGGATTAGCCGTGGAGCCACGGAAAGAAATACAAGCTGACAGATTCAAAATAGAAACATTTCTGAGAGCGTTTTTGGAATAACTTTAAAATGTACTGTAAAAAATAATTTAAATACATCAGAAGCAAGCTGTCAGAGGGACTTAGCAGCCTCTTGAAGAAGGAGGTTCAGGGGATTGCAGAAAAGCCCCGTCGGATTTGGGATCTTCGCTGCAGGGAGGGGCAGAGAGCTGGCCCTGAGATGGTATTTTCGGGGAAAGGGTCTTGCGTGGTGACAAAGTGAAGGGTGGGTAACACGAATTTCTTGAGTCCTGGTAAATTCAAAACAAATGCAGTAGATGCATCATCTAGACCAGGGGTCCCCAACCACTGGGCCGTGGACCGGTACCAGTCCGTGGAACATTTCCTACCGGGCTGCCGATTTGCTGGGCGCCACTATCTTGTTTGACGAGAAGGTGCTTCCGGGTGAGCTTTTCCGGTTGGAAAGCGGCGTTTGGGTGCTGAAGGAATCCTCGCGCCTTAGTTTCATCGAAGGGGGGGCGGCTTCGAACAAAACTAAGGCGCGAGGATTCTTTCAGCACCCAAGGCAAGGCGAGCCGAGCGACCGTCCCGAAGCGAAGCCCATCGACAAAGGTACAAAGGAGGAGTTGAAGGTGGCGGGGAGAAGCGGGGGACGGCCGGCTGGCCAGTCGCTCGGCTCGCCTTGCCTTGTCATGCGTGCTGATGCCAGTACCGGGCCACGGATCATTTTGTGATGCCGGTACCGGGCCGTGGCACAAAAAAGGTTGGGGGCCACTGATCTAGACAACTCCGGGGATTATAAAGAAAAAAAAAATTCTGAAAGAATTCACTTGGGAAATGGTACTTTATGACCAAAATACACGACATGCTTCATTTCTGAGATCGGAACCTGTCCTCTAAGGGTACGGCTTCCCCAGGGTGTCCGTGCTGAGCTTCAAGGGCAGCACCCCAAGCTGCACCCCGGCCCCCCCCAAAAGCCTGCTGCAGGTCCCACCCAAAGGGAGCCAATTGGATGGGGCAGAAAACCTGGCCAGTGGAGTGGGACAACTGGCCAAGGGATGATTCAAGGCAGGATAACTCCCGAGAGGGACCAGTGGAACTGCAGCTGCCCCGCTGACTCCAGGACTTCTAACCAGGAGAAGGTCCAAACCCAAAGGAAGGCAAGGCCCGCGGCCGTTCCCTGGTCCCTGTCTCAAGTTGTCCCGTGGCAGGTCGGCCAGGGCGAGTCGTCCTAGACCCTATTCTTGGGGGGGGGGGGAGGAATGAGGGGGGGGGGGGGAAAAAGGTCCCCTGGGGGAAGCCTGACCCATTCGTTCTCCTCTTGGAAGGGAGCCCGCGATACCTTTGAGAGCTACTACCGGAAGCAGAGAAGAAAGCAGGCCCGGCTGGTTCTGCAGCCCCCCTCTAACATGGTAAGCCCCCCCCTCTCCCCATCCCCCAAGGGGTTTAACGGGTGTCTCACCTGGATTTCTTGGGGTTCCCCTCTCCTACCAAGGTGTTTTAATCTTCTTCTCTTCCCGTTCTTTGTAGCACGAAACCCTCTCCGGCTACCGGAAGTATTTTAATCAGATTGTAGGGTAGGTATCCTTCTTTGACCGTTTGCTCCCGCCAGGGCTCAGGGTTCAGGTCTGTGCGGCGTGGCAGTCCTCGACTTACAGCCGTTCACTTAATGCAGGGGGGGGGGGTCGTCCCCAAACTCGGCAACTTTGAAGATGTGTGGACTTCAACTCCCAGAATTCCTCAGCCCGTTGGGCTTCCCTGCATCCCAAACGGGCCGTGTGTTGACTCAGGGGAGGGGAGGGGTGGGCGGGGCCAGCCAGGAGTGGGATTTGGGGGGCTTCTCCGAACTGCACAGAATCTTAGCTAGGGGATCTCCCGGACCCCCGTGGACCCCCCCCCCAGCAGCCCATCCCTGGACCCCCACAAGGACAACCCAGTGAGGAAGCTGAGAGTCAAAACTCTGGCTCTGAATCTCACGGCCTGCTGGGGAATCCTGGGAGTTGAAGTCCAGCGGGCTTTAAAGTTGGACGGGTGGGAACCACAGCTGGACCAGAACCCCTTTCTCCAGGTCCAGTGAAGCCAGAGATGGGCTGACCACGTGGACTCCCAATTGGGGCCTTCAGATCAGAATGGACAGCCGCCCTTCTGGAATGGGCATAGGTTCTCTCCTGCTTGAGCAGGGGGGGTTGGACTAGAAGACCTCTCAGGCCCCTTCCAGCTCTTTCCAGACCGATCGCGCTTAAGGGAGCCGGATCTCCCGACAGCTCTCTTTTCCTCTTGCCAGGTTTTTCGTCATCGAGGATCACATTCTGCACACAAGCCAGGGTTTGGTGGACAGAGCCTACATCGATGAGCTCTGGGATATGGCCCTGTCCAAGACCATCGCGGCCCTCCGGACACATTCGGTGAGTAGCGGTCAGTTGGCCTTTGGCAGGAGAAGGAGGGGCCCCCTTTTCTGGGAGGTGGCCTGGGGTTCCCGCCCTACGCAGACTCCCAAGTTGCTCTTTTGGCTGCCTTTGCCTGGGGGTCCCTAAACCATGGGACCCAGACCTGACACAGGTGTGCTGCTTTGTAGCTCTTGATGGGCATAGTCAGTTTTTTTTCATTTTTGAAAATGGACCGGAGCATTATTTTGACATAGATGTAGTGCTACTTTAGCACTGATGATGTTACTTTGTTGGATCTTGAAATGTCTGCAAGAAAATCCACAAGCTCAGAGAACACCAAGGACCCCAAGTCGTAGTTGTCCTCCTCCTCCTCCTCCTCCTCCTCCTCCTCCTCCTCTCCACATAGCCCACTCCCCTCTAGCACTGAAGATGTTTCCTAGTTGGGTCATAAAACGTCTGGAGGAAAACCACCCAGCTCAGAGACTACCAAGGACCCCACAACAGTAACCCGTCTTTAACAAGCTGGTTTTGAGCTTAAGTTAATTTTTAGGTGGTTTGGCTTGGGTGATTTTCTTCTTTGCAACAAATCACCCCGTGGAACTGCCGAGTTCGAAACGCACGCGGGTTCCAGACCGTCCTTCTCCGAGGCCCTCAAACCCAGAGAAATGCAGCGTCTTCTGTTCTTTCTGTTTCAGTCCTATTGTTCAGACCCAGACCTGGTGTTGGATCTGAAAAATCTCATTGTGCTTTTTGCTGACACTCTCCAGGTAAGGAGCCCCCTGTCACCCCGACCCCCTAGGTCTGCTAGCCTCCCCAGAGCCCCTCCAGGGACCAAAGCCCCGAGGCCTGACTCTTGTCTCCCACCAAATCCTCCCCCTCCCCCCTGGGAAACGCCCCTCTTTTCCTCTGAATCTCAGTCCGGGGATTCACTTGGAAGAAGATGGATGGGTTGAACATTTTCTCGGAGCAGTTCCTACAGCTAGTCCTCAACTTAGGACTGCCCAGTCAACAACCCCTCTGAGTTCTTATGACCGCTTATTTAACCACTGCAACCCGCCCAAAAGGACCTGGTTCTGAAATCCTGGGGGCTGCCTCTCCCCCTCCCCTCCCCATCTAGGGTCACCATGTGATCCCCTTTTGGGCGCTTGGCAACCATTGGCGGGGCCTCACGATCCTGTGGTCTCGATTTATGACTTCCTGGCCAGAAAGTGGCATCTACTTCATGGCTGCTGCCAAAAGTCATGAAATTGGGCATGGTTGTGTGGTGATCTGCTTAACGACTGCCGTGACACAGAACCGGGCTCAGTTATGGTTGTAAGCCAAGGACTTCCTCTAAAGCTTAAGAGATGAAGCTTCTTCTGGATCTCGGTCCCATCCTGTTGTGGCCCGCCGGCAGCTAGTAGAGCTGGCGGCAGAGTCGGACAAGGAGGAGGTTGAGGAATGAGGGCTCTGCATCAGAGGCAGAGACGGGGCCGAGGCAGGCTGGCAGTCATTAGCTGCCTTCGGGCTCAGACAGCAGTGAGGCAGGGGAGCAGCTGGAGCCGGTTCCCAGCCTGCGTATGCACAGAGCTGCCCCCCCCAAAGAACAATTACAAATTAAGGGTCAACATGGAAGTCAAGCCACAGGTGGAGGTGAGTGGCCCCTCCCATAGGGATTAAAAGAGGAGCAAAAGAGGGGGGGGACTTTTGCAGGAAATGATTCGTTCGTTGCATCAGTGTGAAGATCTGCCTGTGCATCTCAGAGACTCTGTGCTGAGCCCTTCCTTGTCAGCACTGCGTTTGGACATATTTACCAGGCAGCTTTCTGAGATAGATAAGGTTTGAGCTCCTAATTACACCCCTGAAAGACTGTTTGGCTGAATGTGAATGCAAAAAATTCACCTTCATTTAATAAAAGGGGTTTGGTCGTGACAAAGAGTCTGCTGAGTGCTTTTGGGGGGAAGCCTAGGTCAGAATATATCCAAAGTCGCACAGGGATCTTACTGGACCAGAGGCCGGGGTTGCTGGTCAGAGCCTCCTTGAGGTCTGGGTTGTCCCCAGATCCGGGCAAGGGCTGCCTTCCTTCCCTGAACCCCCCGCCTGTCCCCCTGCCAGGCCTATGGCTTCCCTGTCACCCAGCTCTTTGACCTGCTTCTGGAGATCCAGGACCAGTACAGGGAGACGCTGCTGAAGAAATGGGCTGGAGCCTTCAGGTAAGGCCTCTCTCTGGGTGGATTGAGGTATTTAAGGGGCTTTACCTATTTTGGTGACTTCGTTGCTTGTGTGCCAAGCCCTGGGTCATCACACCTATCCAGTGGGTAGAAGCGGCTTTTAGGCCAGCGGCGTTTTGTGCACACCGTGGAGTGGAAACTCTTGTTCCTTTCGCAGAAACATCCTGGACTTGGATAACTACAGCCCCATCTCAGTAGCAGATGAAGAGCAGTACGAGAAACTGGTGGGGCAGTTTCCATTCCACGATGCGGAGCTGGAGAAGGTAAAGCCGCGAAGGAAGGCGGCGCTCAACGCCGAGGGTCTCCCGGTGGCCCCCGCTTCCCCCTTTCCCCAGAGCGTTTGTCCAGAGCAAGAGGCCCAAGAGATGCCTTCCCTTCAGAGCTGCTGCGAGGGTGGTTTGCATGACCTCTGGCAGCGCTTCCAGCCTCGGCAGCCCTCAAAATAGTGGTGCTGGGGGGGTGGGGTAAGAAAGGACCCTTAGAGGGGTGGAGGAGCATGATGGTTTGCAGCCAGGGCAGCTTGGAAGGCTGGAGGTTGATGGCGATTCTCAGTCCTCCAAGTAGGGTGGCCCGGAAGCTGCGTCACATCAACTGGACCCCTTTTCTGGCTGGGGAGAGCGGGGTGGGGAGGTAAGGGAATGATGGCTGCTCGGACTGTGTGGGTGCCTGTTGTGGTTAGCCAGCAGCTGGTGCGGATGGCTGAGGAGAGCGAGGACTCAGATGAGGGGCCAGGACCATTAGGGAGCGGACTGCTGCCTTCAGAGATTGTGGGGGCTGGCAGCAGCGATGAGGAGGTTCCCGAGGAGCCCGTGCTAAATGGCACGTGCGCGCAGGGCTGCTTACAGGAAAGAGCAGCTGCAACAGCACAGGCGACTCGGGAGTAAGGCTGCAAGGTAATGGCCCCTCCTTCAAGAAGTTAAAAGCCAGCTGTGAAGCGAGTGTTCTTTGCAGAAGGCAAAGACGTTTTGAAACTCCGGCCTCGTGGACATTCCAGCATCCTGAGTCGGTATTTGACGATTCTTTGTATTGCAAATTCTTTCTTGTCTGTTACCTTTGGGCAAGTCTCCGCGCAGTTTGGCCAGGCTTGTGTTTATCACAGCTAATGATTTGGTAAAAGCATTGCAAGGTTTCTGTGCCTCTTGGATTGTGTTTGATTTGTTGGGAAAGGGCGCGGGTCAGAACAGCGCACCTGTCTTGCTGACCCCACCCCCCCGTCCTCTCCCCTCCCATTCTGCAGCAGCCGTTCCCTAGGAAGTTCCCCTTTTCCGAACTGGTGCCTCGAGTCTACAACCAGATCAAGGAATTTATCTACGCCTGCCTGAAGTTCTCTGAAGACCTTCACCTGAGGTGTGTGTGTGTGTGTGTTGAGAAAGCCCCCTCGTCTTTCCCCTGGGCCTTTCCTTGGGCTGCTGCAAGGGCTGCCTCCCCCCCCCCACCCCAGGAGATTTCTAGGTCTCTCCCTCTCCTGCATCCCCTATTTGGATCGGGGGGGGGGCGGGGGGGTGTCTTTATCTCCTGTGTCTGAGCCTACGGCCTCTTCTTCAACTTGGCAGCTGGAATCGGCTCTCCTTGGGACGTTGTGAGGCTGTTTTGCCCCACCGCCCACCCTTTTCCCCTTCCTCCCTTTCCTTCCCTGTCATTGACGGGCAGCCCCAGGCTGGGCTGTCCACCCCAGGCCTTTGGAAGGTCGCGGTGGTTGTTGGCAAGGCCCCGAGGCGAAGGCCAGGCGGGTTTCTTCAGGGCCCAGGGCCTCCCTCCTGCAAGGGCTGGCTTGACTAGGCTTCCAGGTTGCTGCTCTCCCCCACCCTCACCTCTTCTGGGTGGGGGGGGGGAGAGGGGAGGGCTAAGCCCCAGGAGCTGAGGGTGTGCAGAGGCGCAGAGGCTGGATGGAGCGGGGGGGAGAATGGATGGGGGGAAATGAGACCTGGGCACCCACACACCCTCCGCCCTCTGCATCCAGAAAAGACTTGGCCGTGTCAAGATGGGCCAAAGAGCAGCTTGGATCTCTCCGTGGTTCACATGGTGGTGGAGGGCAGCAAAGGTCTCGGAGCCAACCCTCAGGGCCCGGAGGAAGACCGAGGCCGAGCACAGAGCGCTGCCCGGTCAAGGCCTCAGGAGCCGGGAACCTGAGTGGGCACTGAGGGCAGGGAAGGAGAGGGGGAGGGGAGTGCCCTCCTGGATCTCCCCTTTGGCCCTGAGCCAGAACTCTGGCCGAGTCTCCCCCATCCCCCCCCCAACGGTGATTGTGTAGCACGATGTGTGAAAAACGGCACTCTTTGGGGAGAGCCAGGGGTCAGGGATCAAACGGCCCGCAAGGAGCCGAAACAGCAAGATCCATCCGGCTGCTCTGAGCGATCCTTTCAAAGATCTCGGCGGGGATCAGCCACACACACACACACACACACACACACACACACACACACACACTCCACGATCCCTTTGGAGTCCAGATCTGAGGGGGATGCCGTCTCCAGGGGTCCCAGGCTGGAGCCTTCTCGGGGATGTCCTTGCAGCCTCTAGAGCTGGGCAGTCGTCTGTGGAGACTTAAAAGCGTCCCAGGGTGTCTCTCCAGGGGCCTGGGAAGTCAGGGATGGTCAGTCAGGGATCCAGTGGGTAATGCTGACCCCCGCCTCCCCAAAACCTCCATCCTTGGAGGTGGCCTCTGACTGATGCCCGGCCCTTGTCGGGAGAACGCAAGACCAGCACCTTTCTCTCTAGAGCAACACATGACTTTCCTGGACCGGCCGACACATTTCTCTTTGGATCTCAGGTGGCTCCCTTGAACCCACAAATCCCCTTGGAGTCCGGTTTGCTTTGGGGCGATTTTGGAAGAGGCTTTCTTGGCTGTCACACACACACTACTGGCTTATATTTAGGTGATTGTCCGCTAGGACTCCAAAATCCCTCTCACAGTTATTGCTTTTATGGGAAAAGAGTTTTGTATGTAGAGAAGCTGGCTATGGAAAGAACTGGAGGAGGCATTTGGAGAAAATGAAGCCAAGCATTGTAAGTTATTTATTTTTCTTTTTGTAGCTTAGGAGGCTTGGTGGGGGAAAGCTAGGCTGCTTATGAAGCAGATTCAAGGAACGCTTTGCTAACTGGACGAAGCACCCTTTTGAAGCCTTGAATGGTGGATAGGGCTGCCAGGGTTTCAATAGATAGAATTCTTTATTGGCCAAGTGTGATTGGACACACAAGGAATTTGCCTTCGGTGCATTTGCTCTCAGTGCGCGTAAAAGAAAAGATACATTCGTCAAGAGTCAAGAATCATCAGGTACAACACTTAATGATAGTCATAGGGTACAATAAGCAATCAAACCATTCTAGGAAACAGTCAGTAGAATATAATAGAATAAGAATAGAATGGAATGGAACAGAACAGAATAGAGTAGAATTCTTTATTGGCCAAGTGTGATTGGACATACAAGGAATTTGTCTTGGTGCAAATCCTCTCAGTGCACATAAAAAGAAAAGATACATTCATCAAGATTCAAAGTCATAAGGTACAACTCTTAATAATAGTCATAGAGGGTACAATAAGCAATGGAATACTAGGAAACAGTCAATATAAATTGTTAGGCTACAAGCCCCAAAGTTACAGACATACAGTCACAAGTGGGAGGAGATGGGTGATGAGGAGTGATGAGAAGATTTAACAGTAATAGTAGTGCAGACTTTGTAAATAGTTGGACAGTGTTGAGGGAATTATTTGTTTAGCAGAGCAATGGCGTTCAGGGAAAAAACTCCCCCTGTATCTAGCTGTTCTGGTGTGCAGGGCTCTGTAGCGTCATTTTGAGGGTAGGAGTTGAAACAGTTGATGTCCAGGATGTGAGGGGTCTATAGATATTTTCACAGCCCTCTTTTTGACTCGTGCAGTATACAGTTTTGATCCACCAGCCTTTAGATCAGGTCTGCCTTTGCTCAAGTGTTGCCACGTGACCTTATGCAAGTTAAATAGTTAAATTTATGGCTATTTGAGCAGAGTTTGAGTGTGGTTTTAAAAGGTATGGAAATAATTCACACACGCCCCCCAGCAGCCTCTTGCTCCGGTTTCCTACGTTAAAACCCTGAGATATGTTGACAATTACTGTATGTTATACATCAAACACATTCTTGGACCGTAGAAGAGGTAAAATAAAATCTAGCCAAGTCTCCCTCAAGTCAAACTCAGCTCATGGTAGCTAACAGGATATGAACAAGTTGTTTTCTTGGCTATGATCCAAAAGCAATTTGCCATTGCTGTCATTTACGTTGTTTTGCATCTTATTAGTTTTTCTTTTGGGATGAGTGTTTTTTTTTAAAAGATCCTGGTTCCCATCCAAGGACTGCCCCTCTTCAGTGGCTGTGAGGTCAGCCAAGGGCAGCCCCTGAGCCTGGCTCCTTTCTCCTAGGCTTAAATTAATCCCATGACCTTCATCAAAATGTGGATTTAATGATTTCCCTTTTAGGTCACGTTCAGCTTTTCCAAATAAGCCCCGGAGCCCTTTGAGCCTCCTGAAACATCGGAAGGAGCTGCAAACTGCAAGCCTCCCTCATAAGCCGGTCATGGCTGCCTTTGCCAGGGGGGCTGGGACTGGGGTGGGTGGGTGGGTGGGTGGGATGAGGGGTGGGGGGGCGGTTGGTCGATGTTCATTATTGCAACATTTCCTGGTTGAATTCTCCATCCACCCCTTTTTTTTTTTTCATTAATACTTAGAACAATTTCCAGCCTTTCCTGTTATGAATAACCTTTTCCTGGCAGCTGGCTTTTAAAAAAATAATAATAAAATAAAATAAATGGCCAGTATGATTTTTAAAACCCAGAAATACAATTTGTCCTCAACGTTTTTGAGCCCCCGACATTTCTGTGGCTCGGCGAGACAGCGGTTAAGGATGCTTTGCCCCATTTTAACGCCTGTCTTGCCACCGTTGTTAAGCAGATCGCTGCAGATCTTGAATGAGTCACACACAGTGGTTAGAATTGAATCCGGCTTCCCCGTCGACTTTGCTGGTTGGAACCTCGCCAAACGGGGATCCCGTGATCCTCCGGGGCATTGTGACCATCGTAAGTGTGAACCCGTGATCCTAGCGTCCGAATTTTGATCACATGACCACGGTTTTGATGCTGCGACAGTCGTCAATTGTGAAATATGGTCCTAAGTCACTTTTTTTTTTTCTCGTGCCGTTGTAACTTTGAATGATCCCTAGATAAAATGTGTACTGTTCAAAAGAGTTGAAAACATGAACGGGCAAAAGGACAAAAGGAGCCAGTTATTTCTACATGCTTTTTCTATCTTATCATTACCTTTATTGTCAGAGTACAGCATGTGTACAATGAGATTGGCTATCTTCATATTTGTGGGTTCATATGGATGGGACCCTCAGTTTCCACCCCCAATTGTCCTGTTGTATGTGACCCACATGGGTTCTCCAGCCTTTGGCACACAACGGAGCTCAGGGAGCTGCTGGCCATTGCCAAAACCATCACCCTGGATGGTTGAGAATCTCCAAGGGCATCTCTCATGGCTCATAAAAAATGGAAAATCACAATAACCCCAGTAATGCAATTGGCCCAAAACTAACCATAAGAAAATAGCAATAGCGCCATTGCAACTAATCCAGGAGAGAAGCAACTTGGAATTAAGGGGGAAACTTCCTTAATGGAGGACAGTGAAATGGTGGAACAGCTTTGCCTTCAGAAGTTGTGGATGCTTCAATACTGGAGGTTTTTAAAAAGAGACTGGACAGCCACTTATTTGAACTAGTATAGGTTCGTGGTGGCGAACCAGGTGGCACGCAGAGCCATTTGTGCGGGCACGCGAGCCCTAGCCAAACTTACCTGCACTGCGCATGTGCGTGCCTCCCAGCTGATTTTTGGCCTGTTTGAGGCCATTTTCGCCTCCCCGGAGGCTCGAGGTCCTTCCCGAAATATCGGAAGTGTTGAAATGAGCCTGTTTTTCAGGCTCCCGAGGCTGCAGAGGATTCCCTCGAGCCTCCAGGAGGAGGGTGAAAACGGTCTCAAAACGGGCCAAAAATCAGCTGGGAGGCGTGCGCATTTGCAGTGGAGATAAGGGGGCGGGGTGGGGGTGTTGTACGTGCATGCGCAGGGGGCAAGGCGCATTGCATTGTGGTGTCCTGGCTATCCCACGTGCGCACCATAACAAAAAGGTTTGCCATCACTGGTATAGGTACTCCTGCTTGAGCAGGGGGCTGGACTAGAAGACCTCCAAGGTCCCTTCCAGCTCTATTCTGATTGATTGATTGATTGATTGAAGATCTGAGGATCTGAGCCATCCACCTCAAGAAAGGCCCAGCTTCTGAAATCATCGTTTCCCAGCCTCGGGGAAGAGCTTCGTAGGTGTCGGTGGAGTTGGCTTCGCTCTGCCTTTGCAGGCAGAACGTCTTGGCTGGCATTGTCCCAAAATACGGGTGTCAGCCTCGGAAGCTCTTTTTTACTTGGAAGTTTAGAGGCTGCCACCCATTCAGTGTCTGGATATTTGGGAGGGGGGATTTCATCGTGGAGTAGAAGACCAGACACAACAACATTCCTTTCTCAGAGGGTCAAGGACATGTTGCCCTGTACCTGGAGGCAAGTGACTGGAAGGATGTCTCCAGTTGGAATGAAGATCTGATTGGGCCACGTGATGGACTGATGAGTGCGGGGGGTGGATCTTTGAATTCTCTTTTGGGAAGGGAAAACCCGGAACGCTCAGATTTGGATTTTCCCAGATGTGCCAATAGGACAACTCTAATAAAATGGACCATTGAGGAACTGTTTGTCTCGGAGTTGATTGGTTTGGAGTTGGTTAGTTGGAACGCTGGCAACTGGTTTCCTTTGCCCTTAGCAACCAGTCAGTCCGTCAATCAATCAATCAATCAGCCAACCGATCCATGATTTTCTCTTCCTTTCAGCTCCACGGAAGTAGATGACATGATTCGGAAATCGACCAATTTGTTGTTGACTCGGACCCTGAGCAGCTGCTTCCAGAACGCCATTCGGAAGAAGAACATCGGCCTGACCGAGGCAAGGACTCCCTTCTGGGTTGGGGCAGGTTGAAGTGGTTTGGACCCCCCCGCCCCTCACTGCTCAGGGCCTCGTTGTAGATACTCCGAGCCTCCTCTTGAAGGGAGGAAGAAGGCAGAAAAAGGAAGCGGAGGGAGCGTGCAAGGATCCTCTCTTCTTGGTTGAATTATCTGTGAGAAGCCTTCTCCAGATTTTCCTCCTCCGGCAGTAAGTATTTCTCAACTTCGGCCATTTTAAGATGAGTGGACTTCAGAATTCCCCAGCCAGGAATTCTGGGACTTGAAGTCCACTCATCTTAAAATGGCCGAAGTTGAGAAATACTGCCCGAGAGCTTTGCTGTTATGAATCAGGCAGACTTAGGTCCAGCACAGCTCCACGTTTTCCTCCTTGGTTTTCCTTGAAGCATCTCTTGTCCAGTTGTGTCTAGCATGAAGGTGTTTCGGCGTGTTGTAGACCAGGGGTTACAACACTGAAACTGTGTTGTGTGCAAGGGACGGGGTGGCTCAGTGGCTAAGACGCTGAGCTTGTCAAATCAGAAAGATCGGCAGTTTGGTGGCTTGAGTCCCTAGTGCCGTGTAACGGACTGAGCTTCCATTACCCATCCCAGCATCTGCCAACCTAGCAGTTCGAAAGCGCGTAAAACACGCAAGTAGACAAATAGGGACCCCTTTGGTGGGAAGGTAACAGCATTCCATGCGCCTTCGGCATTTAGTCATACCGGCCACATGACCACGGAGACGTCTTCGGACAGCGCTGGCTCTTTGGCTTTGAAACGGAGATGAGCACCGCCCCCTAGAGCCAGAAACAACTAGCACGTAGGTGCAACGGGAACCATTACCTTTAGGCCAGGGGTGCCAATGGGCCACAGACTGGTGCCGGTTCACTTTCTGTTGGCAACTGGGCTGTACAAGTGTCAGGCAGGTGTGCGAAGCTTCATCTACGCATGTACGGGAGCTAGGTTGCGTGAGAGAACCCTTCCCCCATCGTCCCGCGCAGCTGCTCTGTAGAGCCATAGAGGTTGGGAACTGCTGTTGTAGACCATTGTCTACTTCTCACCTCTGCCACAACCGAAACACCTGGCATAGCCAGGAAGGGAAGGGCAGTGGGAGCTGTCGAACGTTGAGGGTCCCACTTCTCCAGCTTGATATTTTAGAGAGGAGCTGGTGGACACGATAGTGTTTGTGGCACTGGCGTGTAGTCTTTTAGAGAAAGAATAATGGATGACATTCAATTTATGATGTGGCGAAAAGGATCTGTGGCCCAGCCTGGTGAAGTGGGGAAATCCCCGGCTTCTCTTTGCTGTCCTTGAAAGACCCAGGGCCTCCTCTGTCTGACAGGTGACGGAAAATCCCCTCCCCACAATTTAATTGCAGCCCAGGCGTCTGCAGATTTTTCTGCCAACAGGAGCTGTCACTCCAGCTTCTGCCCCTGTTGACCGAGGGCGTCAGATCCTTTCGTGTGGTTTTTTTTTTTTTTTTTTTGTTGCAACCGGTTTGTCTTGAATAGGATCGGAGGTACAACGAGACAAGTTAAACGGGGAAAATTCTTCAGAGGTTTTATTCTACCTCCAGCAGAATATCCCCCACCCCTGGTGAAAATACCAACTCAAGAGAGAATATGAATAGAATAGAATACTTTATTGGCCAAGTGTGATGGGACACACAAGGAATTTGTCTTAGTGCAAATGCTCTCAGTGTACATAAAAGAAAAGATACATTAGTCAAGAGTCAAGAATCATCAGGTACAACACTTAATAATAGTCATAGGGTACAATAAGCAATCAAATCATACTAGGAAACAGTAAATATAAATCGTAAGGATACAAGCAACAAAGTTACAGTCATACAGTCACAAGTGGGAGGGGATGGGTGATAAGGAGTGATGAGAAAATTAAGAGTAATAGTATTGCAGACTTTATAAATAGTTGGGCAGTGTTGAGGGAATTATTTGTTTAGCAGAGTGATGGCATTTGGGAAAAAACTGTCCTTGTGTCTAGTTGTTCTGGTGTGCAGTGCTCTATAGTGTCGTTTTGAGGGTAGGAGTTGAAACAGTTTATGTCCGGGATATGAGGGGTCTGTAAATATTTTCACAGCCCTCTTTTTGACTCGTGCAGTAAACAGGTCTTTGATGGAAGGCAGTCCTAATTATCCTCTGAAGTCTGCGTCTGTCTTGTTGGATTGCAGAGCCAAACCAGACAGTTATAGAGGTGCAGATGACAGACTCAGTAATTCCTCTGTAGAACTGGATCAGAAACTCCTTGGGCAGTTTGAGGTTTCTAAGTTGGCGCAGGAAGAACATTCTTTGTTGTGCTTTTTTGATGATGTTTTTGATGTTAGGTGTCCATTTTAGGTCTTGTGATAGGATCGAACCTAGAAATTTGAAAGTCTCTACTGTTGATACTGTGTTGTCTAATATTGTAAGAGGTGGTAGGTAATATAGGAGGGTTTCTTCTAAAATCTGCCACCATTTCTACGGTTTTGAGTGTGCTCAGTTCCAGATTGTTCCGGTTATACCACGAGGCACCACCTTGGAGGAAAATGGGAGTCTGTTTCTCCGAGGGGCAGCGTAGCTCTTACCTGTTGCTCTGACTTCCTGCAGCCCAACTGTGGCTGATGGTTTTTAACAACGTGTGTTGCTCCTGCAGCTGGTCCAGATAATTATCAACACTACACATTTGGAAAGATCCTGTCGATTCCTAGAAGAATTCATAACCAACATCACCAACGTTCTCCCAGAAACCGTCCACACGACGAAGCTTTACGGAACGGCCACTTTCAAGGTGAGCCCCAGCTTTGGTCTTCGTTCCCATTTCCCTCTCCTAGGCCTACCTGCCTATCTGTCTGTGATCAGTCAACACCCCCGAACATTGCTCAGCCGTCCTCATCCAAACATGGAAAGCAGGCAGGAGACAGTAGAAGACAGACATTTGAAGAAGGGTTTGTGGGGAGACCGTCCACGGTTCACGGGGATATTTTGCAGAAAAAAAATGGGAGAGGAAAACGGAGTCTCTGCTCCTCCTGGGTTGGGTTGGGGGTCATGGAAGCCAGTCAGCAAAGGTCTTCAGAAGTGTGCGAGGGCAGAGAAGGAAAGCGGCTCCCCACAGATGTGCAAGGAATGAACTGCACTCTCGGGAACAGAAAGTTTGCATTCTGTGTAGGTTCAGTGCAGTGCAATGCTTACGGTATTCTGCTTTGCTGGGGATCAGTGGGCATAGGGTGGATGGATGGACTGATGGACGTATAGAATAGAATAGAACGCAGAACAGAATGGAGAAGAGAATACAGAATAAAATAGAAACTAGAACAGAACAGAACAGAACGGAATGATTGATAGATGTATGGATGTATAGGATAGAATAGAATGGAACATAGAAGAGGAGAGGAGAGGAGAGGAGAGGAGAAAATAGAACAGAATAGAATGGAATGATGGATGGATGGATGGACATATAGAATAGAATGCAGAATAGAAGAGAATAGAGAATAGAAACTAGAACAGAACAGAATGGAATGATGGATGATGGACATATAGAATAGAATGCAACATAGAAGAGAATAGAATAGAAAATAAACAGAATAGAATGGAATGATGGATGGATGTATAGAATAGAATAGAGAGTAGAATAGAGAAGTGAATAGAGAATAGAATAGAAACTAGAACAGAACAAAATAGAATGATGGACGTATAGAATAAAAAATAGAACAGAACAGAATGGAATAAAATAGAATAGAATATAGAGTAGAATTCAGAATAGAATAGAATATAAAATAGAACGTATAATATAATAAATGGAACGGAACGGAACAGAACAGAAGAGAGTTACAGAACAGAACAGAACATTTGGCCAAGCGTGATGAAATGCACAAGGGATTTGCCTCGTGTGCAGATGCTCTCAGCACAGCAACCAAAGCCTCATCCCAATAAAGAAGGGGAGGAGACGAGCTGAGGTCGTAGTGCTGCAGCCATGCCCTGTGGGTGGAGAGGCCTGGGAGACGTGGGCATTGAGGCAGCCCTGGGGATTGGGAGCATGTCGCTTGCTGCCTCTGTCCCCGTAGATTAGCCCTTGTGCAGTCACCATGCTCAAATGTCCCCGTGCGCCATAGAGTCCCTGCTGTCCTTGGGGAGGCAGTTCTTGCAGGAGCCGCTTGAAGTGTAGATAAGTGGCCCAAAGAGGATTAGTTTGACATCCGGGGCCATGAGCCCCCCCTCACTCCCCCCCTCACTCCCCCCCCCAAGAGCAGGATTCGAGGTGCCGCCACGAGCTCTCTGCTGACCTGGCCCTTCTCCACAGGACGGCCGCCACGCTGCAGAGGAGGAGATCTACACTAACTTGAACCAAAAGATTGACCAGTTCTTGCAACTTGCAGATTATGACTGGATGGCCGCGGAAGCCCCTCCCAAGGCCAGTGACTACCTGGTGGACCTCATTGCTTTCTTACGCAGCACCTTTGCTGTCTTCACACACCTGCCTGTAAGTCTGGCTTGGGAGGCGAGGGCTGGGGAGGGTCGGCCTGACCTCCGGGCTGGTTAGAAGGTCAAGCTGCGGGTTCAGCTCTTCCTTCCACCCGACTTTCCTTCGGTTGTCCATCGAGCCTCAATCGCCCAGGAGGCTTTGGAGGAAACAGAGACAGACCCTCCCTTTCTCCGGTCCTCTTGGCCCCTCCATTTCTCGGCCCTCTGGGGTCAGAAATGGGGGTGGGGAGATCAGTGGGATTGACCTGAAAAAAAACCTCCGGATGCAGCTCAGAACGGGAGATCTTGTTTGCAGCGGAATCGTGTTTTTTTTTTGTGCCGCTCTGACCGGCCGATCATTGTAAAGCCATGCACGTCGACGCTGGGTGTGGCCGAGCAGGAAGGGATCGTGGCAGGAGCGGGATCCAGTCCCCAGTGGGTGCCGGACACAGACGTTCTTGAGTGGGTTAGAGTGGCCATTTTCAGACTGCCCGATGGAGGGATTCTTTGGAGGATCTGCCCAGCTTTCTGATCCTCCCTGGGGTTTCCTTACAGGAGCTGAGCGTGAAGCAGAGGATACGCCAGGTTGGAGTGCCGGTGGGACGGTTGCCTTAGGAAAGAGAGAGGGAGAGAGAAAAGGAGAGAAAAAGAGGGGGAGAGAGAGAGAGAGAGAGATGCCAGTGGGATAGTTGCCTTAGGAGAGAGAGAGGGAGAGAGAAAAGGAGAGAAAGAGGAGGAGAGAGAGAGAGAGAGAGAGAGAGAGACAGCGAGAGCGCTTTCATTCATGGCGGTTGATTGTTGTTTTAATTTCATGTCAGACGAGTTAATGTAAATCTCCCTGACAGATTTGTAGCCAGCACACGGGCTTGTTGACTTTGCTCTGTGGGAGATGGAAGGTTATGTCAACACCTCTGGCGGGCCTGTCAGCTTCACAAAGCACGGAAGTTTTTTATTTGTTGGGGAAAGGGGTGTTTTTCTGTTTGCCTTTTCGGTTTCCTTTAATCCTCCAAGGAGGCTTGTATCTCGATAACCTTCGCGGCAGGGTAAGCGGAAGGTCAGGAGGGCCTGGAAGGGATCTTTCCCTGGCTGTCCTGGCCTCCAGCCGCTCAACCCGGCCTTCTGTGGAGAGGCCGACCCTCGCCCTCCTTCTCCCTTGAGCTCCTCCGCCCTCCCGCCTTCCTCTCCTCCTGTTTACTCGGGGCCAGATGGCCAGCGCTGATTTCAAGGGCTCCAGGGACCCGTGGCCTGGCCGAGTGGCCGATGGCACAGAAAGCCGGTGAACTTTTCATGCCGTTTGGTCCGGAGGCGGATTGATGCTTTCGAGGAATTGGTGCAGGTCTAAGAAGGATCTGAAGTCCAAGGCAGCGGTGGTGGGGGGCTCCCGTCTGTGGTGGGGGGCTCCCGTCTGTGGTGGGGGGCAAAGAGGCTGTCCTTACGGGCCGCGAGAGCCACTCCCACGTCTTTCCTGGCCGTGCCCTTCCCGATTCCGGTCCTGCTGACTTCTTCAGCTTAAGAGAGGCCCAGGATGGGAAATGATTGACAGATACCAGAAACCCTGTAGGTGGTCAGTATTAACACCCCCTCCTCCCCCAATTGCAGAGAGGATACGGAAACAGGGAAGAAGGGACTTGGCTCCAGAGGGCAGAGTCCCTGGCAGCCCAACCTGGCAGGGCTGGAAGGAGGGCCTTCTTAGAATTGCAGGAGAATCCGGGCCACCTGGCAGGAAAAACACCCGGAGCACAGCTGGAGCCATCGTTGGGTTTGGCAGTTGCAAAGTCCAGGACTCCATAGCTGTTTCCCGCACATCCTGGAAGGACCCCTGGGTGGGGTTAAATGGGAGGGCCTTCCAAGCAGTCTCAGCTGAGTTGTGTTGGCCCCGTGGCCTCCTGTCTTGGCGGTCCCTTTGTTGGGGGATACCTCCCTTCAGGACGCCCGGTGGGTCATTGGTGTTCCACGTCTACCTTTGGCTGGTGGTTAGGGGACATCTGAGAGCCGAGAGGGACGGAGCGGGAGAGCTACCTTAGAAGAAGGAGGGCAGAGCTGGAGGCACCTGGCGGTTTTCCTCTGGGAATGCAGGAGGGGGGAAGGTTGAGCCATTTTTTTTATGGCTGCTCCTAACTGCACACAGGTTGGGATGGCTGGGCAGGGATTGCTCTCACCTTTGGGCAGGTGGTGGGATCTGTCCTTGTGGAAGCTCTCCTTCTTAGCCAGAAGGTGGCATTCTAAGCCCAGGCCCTTCCTTTCGTGGTTCCTCCAGCAGATCAGTTTTAGGTGTTTCCTCCTCCCCGCCCCACAAAGATGAGAGGCCTCGAAGCAAACAACAACCTGGATGCTTTAATAGCCCCTCTGAGAAGAAGACGGATGAGTCCCGGACAGCCCCAGAGCAGAGCTTTCCAGAGTCCTGCTAAGCTTCTCCTTGAAGCAGGGAGGTTCCTCTGCTTCTGAATGCAACCATTTCTCCATGCAACCAGCGTGGACCAGGCTGCCACATCACATGGAGCCTTTCCTTTGCTGGAGCCTTCAACCAGAAGTGGTGTGATCAGCTGTCAGAGGTGCTGGAGTGGATATCGGGCTTACTAGATAACATCTGAGATGCCTTCAAACTTGGGGCCTGTGATTCCACTCCTGCCCTGCCCTGTCTTCAGCTGAAGATGGCAGTTTTGTCAGAGGGCCTCCTTACTCGGCCTCAGTGAAACCTCTTTGGTCTGGGGACAGGCTCTTTTTGGGCCCTCGCCAGCCCAATCCTGGGAATGTCTCCTATGCCAGTGGCTGTAGGAAGGGTCAGGACAGGGGTGAGCTCCAGCAGAGCCTCCAGACAAGCCCTTTAGAACAGGGATCGCCAACCTTTTGGACCTCAGGGACCACCAAACTCATAATTTTAAATCCCATGGACCAGAGACCCTGGGAGAATCCCCCCAAAAGTCTGCAGGAAAATTCCCCACCCTGTTTTCCTACCGATCGATCATTCTTGATTTGGGATCGCAGGATATTGTCTTCAGCTCCGTTCTCAGGGGGAGAGAGAGAGAGAGACTTTTGGCTTCATGCAAGGAAAACAGCAGAAGCCGCAGAAGTCTTTCTTTCTCTCCTCCAAACTCCGCCGGATATGAGTCTTTGTGAAACTTGTCACATCAGCGCAGCCTCTTGGAGCAGGAGGCCTTGCAGGGTCCCCAAGACTAATTTCTGGCGGAGTTTGGGGGAGAGAAAGTAAGACTTTTGCTGCTTTCCTTGCGTGCAGCCAAAAGCAGAAGAAGATAGAAGCGGAAAGAAGCAGCCTGGTGGCCAGGCAAGGCACATGGGGCGAGGGGGGCAAGTTTCCCCCTCCCACCCTTTCCCCCCCCCCCCCCCCTATCTCATGTTGTCCACAGTGCAAGCAACGCAAGCCTTGTGTTCCCGCGGGTCATGTGGGTGGAGCAGCCTTGTGTTCCCGCGCAGCCTGGATTAATTGCTTTGGGGTTGACATTTCTCTGCAGGCCAGCAAAATTTTCTGGTGGACCCCCAGTGATCCCCTGCCCACTGGCTGGCGACCACTGCTTTAGAAGCTTCTTGTCCTCTCCCGTTGATACAAGATAAGCTCCGGAGCAAGGCTTTGGGTCCTTGTGTGAGTGGGTCTACCCATGGCTGCTGTGGCTTGGTTCGCCCTTCTGGCTTTTTGTGCAAGTAGATTGGAAACAAAATTCACCTTGGTCACCTTGTTCTTCTCCCAGGGAAACGGTCAGGGAAGAATCGTAGGATGGCCGCTTGCACCACTGCTGGGTGCGAAGCCTTCTCTCCAGCCACACGGGCATAGCTGGAAAGTTCTGGTTCCCCTTTGAACCCTCCAAACGAAGGGCAGCAGCCGGTGGGGGCCTTGAAGCATCTGCCTGCCTGGGGCTACCAACTCTGCTCCAGCCCTCCGTGGGAAAGGTGGTGGTGGTGGGGGGAGGAAGAGACTTTGGCTTCAATAGCTCCAGAAAAAAGGGAAATTCTTATCTGACAGCCTCTTCCTGTGGCTGACAGCTCATATTGTCCAGAGGTTCCTCCCGATCACTGGTCTGGACCTGATTCCTTGTTGCAGCAGTCCGGAACCTTCCCTCTGGGGCATTTTTTCTTCTCTTCTGTCCAGTCCTGCCTGATTCTTGGACACTGCCTGGACAATCCCTGAGGTTTTCTTAGCCAAGTTGTTGAGACGTGTGAGAAAGTGAGAGGCCCAGGCAGGACTGCCGGTCTCTAGCCTGATCCCTTAACCACAACATCAAACCTGGTAGTTTAGGGGCAATGATGAAGGGTTAACTCTGGGGGTTCGGCAGGCTGCCTCCTTGGTGGGACCTTGCTACTCCCTGCGTTCTTCTCTTCTACATTAAGCAGCCTCTGCCTCCTCCAGCACAAAGCAGTGGCCAAGAGGGGCAACGCTAGGAATCACATGTTTTGCGCACACGGCCTGAACATGGAATCCACTTGTGAAGCCTGGCTCCTGCAGTGAATTGTGTGCCAGCCATGTGACCGCTGGAGGGCTCTTTCCATTGCATGGCATCACACGTTGCTGCACACGTGTCGGGGGGGGATTTCTTCTCATGTTCTTTCTGCTAATCCTGTGTTTTAATCGCCCCCGATAAAGTAATCATTGAGTGGTTTTATATGAAAGCCGTGGTGGTGCAGTGGTCAGAATGCAGCATTGCAGGCTAACTCTGTCCACTGCCTGGAGTTCGATCGATCCTGAGCGGCTCAAAGTTGACTCAGTCTTTTGTCTTCTGAGATTGGTAAAATGAGAAGCCAGATTCTTGCGGGGGAGGGGGGAATAGGCTGACTCTGTAAACTGCTTAGAGAAGGCTATAAAGCACTGCGAAGCGGTATATAAGTCTTCAGTGCTATTGCTATATGGATTCTTTGGTGCTTCTGAACTCGCTTATTTGCTTGCAGATATTTTATTATCCAAGTATGTACCGTCATCAATGCAGGGAACTCTTTATACACAATAGTTTGCCTGCCAGTATTGGTGGGTGTGTAGTTTTTTTCTCTGTCCCCTTGGTAGTTTTTTTTTTT